TGTTTGGATATTAATCATACTACATTTACCTACACTCTTTCTTGAAATATTCATGGGAGACTTGAGAAATAAACATCTCCATTTTATAAATAGGGAAGGAATAATGATAGAATTATTTAATAGCTTATACACAACTGAGTAGTTGGGAAGTCCCAATTCATTACTCAATAGAAACACAAGACCATCATTAAGTTCATACAACAGAAATTTACAAAGAAGGCTACTTCCAATATGCTAATAAGTTTAAATGAAGCATGATTCACATAGTGAAAGAATAAGAAATCCATTCGATTTCCATGGAATTGTTGCTATTCTTGGACTAGACCACAAATAATTCTCTCACAATACCTGTCTTAAGTTACTTTGCTATTTCTGTGATAAGGCACCATGACCAAGACAATTTATAAGAAAGTATTTAATTGGGGCTTACCTTTTCAGAGTCTTCAGTGAAGCAAAGGGATAGTGGCAAAAACAGCTGTGAGCTTATAGTTTTTTGAGACAGGATTTCTCGGTGTAGCCCTGCCTGTCTTAGAACTCGCTCTGTAAACCAGGCTGGCCTAGAATTCAGAGATCCACCTGCCTCTGCCTCTTGAGTGTTGGGATCAAAGGTGTGTGATACCACCACCCAGCCATGAGTTTATATCTTTATCATCACGTAGGACACACACACACATACACACACACACACACACACACACAGAGAGAGAGAGAGAGAGAGAGAGAGAGAGAGAGAGGGAGAGAGAGGACAGCATGACTTTTTTGAAATTTCAAAGCCCAGCCCCCCCTGTGACACACCTCCTCAAACAAGGACACACCTCCTAATCTTTCTTCAGCAGTTCTAAAAACTATTTATTATTATATTACTATTTATCATAATATTACTACTACTAGCCTGGGAGGCAGAGGCAGGTGGATCTATATGGTTCGACGCCAGCAAATTCCAGGACAGGCTCCAAAGCAATACAGAGAAATTCTGTCTGGGAAAACCAACCAACCAAATAAATAAATAAATAAATAAATAAATAAATAAATAAATACTACTATTAATAGTAGTATTAGACCAATTATTCAAACATATGAGCCTAAGGGGAGCATTCTCATCCAAACCACCACACTGTGGTTAAAAATGTACATTTAAGGTATTGATCTACAACCCCAAATATTTTTTTTCCACAGACAAAGCATAGATATGTTCTTGTTCATGTACCAAATGAAAACATTCCTCAAAAACCCAAAAAAAAATGTTTTAAGTAAGACAACTCCAGACATGATCGCATTCTTATTTTCCTAATGGGACAGTTACACCCTCTTGAGCCTCAGCTCCTCTCCTGTGAAAACCAGAACCACAATCTTAGCACTGTAATTGGTATGAGGATTAATGAACCCTGGCTGGTGAGGTGACTCAGTAGGAAAAGATGCTTGCCACCACTCATGAGAACCTGCGTTTATCCACACAACTCAGGCAGTGGAACAATTCTCGCTCTATTGTGCTTTGACATACTCAATGTACCATGACACATGCATGCCCACATGTGTATATATACAAAATAAATAAATGCATGTAAAGGGGGATTATAGAACCCATTTGTAGGAAGTACCTAAAATGAAGTAAGCACTTGACTAACTGCAGCAGTGACAGGAATAAAAGGGGCCAAGTATGTTGTAGAAGGAAATCAATCTTCACTGATGAGGGAGCAGCCTATGCTTTAAAATTTTCTATAAGACCTCTTTCATGCAAACACTATCACTATGGCTGCTCAGAGAGAATAAAGAAAAGACAGAGGTTGTGGACCCAGCACAGGATATTTGAGTGGCAAGACAGCTGTGTGACATCATCACCTGTATCTTGTTATTGAAAGCATTGAAACTCCGAGATGCTTCTTGACTCACCTAATACCACCCAGAAGTGACTAAGCCAGAGTTGAAACCATGAATGTTGCCTGCATTAAGCTGGGTGGCACAATGGATCAGATACTCAAGCTGAGTTGCTGGTGTCTGCTCTGTACACATTTCTAATGAATAGCCCCCTAGGTTTAATTAAGGAGAAAGGAGATTAATTGTTTCTCCCAACAGCTGCAAATTATTTACATTGCATTCGTGTTGATGGCTAATAAAAGAGCAAAGGAGGATAGGGACAGCCCAGGATGACTGTAATTCTTACAGAGTCCATAATGAAGTGCAGGTCTGAATGACAAAACATAAGAATGGATGGGCTTGCTGCCCCATGCATACCTGGAGTGGGCAGAGCGGCTCTCTGCCCTGAGCAGGATTCAATCAGCAAAAATGGATCCCAGGGGCTGAGACTAGAGACCTGCTGGGCATATATATTCCTGCTCCAGCAGACTGACACTCAATTTGTGATTGCTGGAGAAAGGGTGAGAAATAGGATGGTGTTGATTCAGGGTGTGGTTCCCCACTAATTCTGGGACAACTCTTAAATAAACTTTCCATGAATGATGAATTGGGAAAGGGAATGGGCAATAGAGTTAATTGTAATTCTCTAAGCCCTTGGTCTTTCATGGTGCTGCAATTTTTGTATAACACATCACAGTAATGCAGTATTCAGGAACATTTTCTGGAGAACTGTGAACAAACATCTATTCACCTAGATAAGGCACCAATGACAAGTCAAGTTAATGATTCCAGTCAAATCTAACCTGGCAAACTAATGAATTTATTGAGCTTACTTGCAGCAGCATAAGTGATGGGTATTTACAGTAGTGTATGACCCCCAGTGTTATCACCAAAAAAGTCTCACATCAACACAGGTGAAGACTTCCCCATGGTTGCATAGATGAAATATCTCCCTCATCTAGTCTCCCACTGTCTACTTTAGTGCCTCTAGAGAGCACGTGAAGCTAGGGCAGAATTTCATGCCACCAGGAGAGGTTATATGAGGGGATAGGAACCGTTGGAGAGGGCCCAGTGACATGTCTCCTATGACATAAATTGAATAGGCCCAACATGAGGGACTCTTGTGCATAGTCACAGATTCTTTCATTTAGATGCTTATGGCTGTTGTGCTATGAGAACAGTGTTTACAATGCATGAGTTAGATGCATGAAATAATATATGTGTATGTGTCTTTGTGAGTATCTTTGGTATATGATGAGGTGCTATAAGTTTTGTTTTTCTTGCCCATTATGAAACATGCAGTTACTTTTAGATGTCACTCTTTGTAGAAGTTTTTTCTTTACTATTTTTACAATGATCACCCCCATTTCATAGGTTGCTGTGGGGAACATATATGACCATAATTTTTAATCTCTAGAGTAGAGTGTGAGGGTTAGCCACATCAGTTTAACCTGTTATTTTGCCTTTTGAAATATCTGCTTTGCTATCTTAGTCCTGAGGATATGTATGGGGGATTGAAAAGAGATCAAGAAGTCCACAATTGAAGACCACTCTTGATGCTTACTTGGAGTGTTGACTAGAGAGGGTAGGGTCTTGGAAGATTTGCTAAAATACCTGTATGGATATCCAAGTGGCATCACAGGGAACCAGAACAAAAATTAGGTAACACTCACCAAGGAGATGAATGGAAGAAGTTGAATATTTGTCAGAGATGTCCACATGTGATATACAAAATCTTGTCACATCTTATCTTAAGCCTCTAGCCATTGTTGGTTTTTGTTTGTGTATTACAATTGCTTGGTAGGGTTCCTACATAGTCCCATAAACTAAGTACCTTTAGAAAAATGGAAATATACTGCTTCACATTTTTGGATGCTTGACATTTAAAATAAAGATGCTGAAAGATCATGCTTCATCTGTACTCTGGGGAATGGTCAGGTTGGAGCTCGCATCCTAGATAGTTCCTAGTGGCCAGTAGAAGCACAACTTTACTGTGTGTGTGTGTGTGTGTGTGTGTGTGTGTGTGTGTGTGTGTGTGTGTTCATGGTTCTGCTACATGTCTCCTATAAGATGAGGTCAGTGGTCAAGCTTGAATGTCATTCCTCAGGTACTGCCCATATTGTTATTTTATTTTTTATTTGCACTGGGACTTTAATTGTTGTCTGGTACTCACTTGTAGGCTGGGTAGTCAGAAAGTCTCAGGGACCCACATGTCTATGATTATAAGCATAGGCATCCATGCCTAGCATTTTGCCTAAGATCTGCAGATCAAATAAGTCTTAATGCTCATACAGTAAGCATTTTACCAAAGGAGTTATTTCCCAGGCCTTCTCTAGTCTTTCATGTGGTGTTTCTTGAGTGCTTGGCTGTCTCTGCATGAAAATGTCCCATTTTTAATATGTACTCCAGTCATGATCATTGAAAATCTACTCCAGTAGCCCCATTTTAAATAGATTACTTCTGTAAAGACTTTCTTTCTAAATACAGATAACTATTTAGGTAAACTCCAATCTACCTTTTAAGTGTACTGACATTAAATATGTTGTATATCAGATATATGTTTAAGTATATCACTTGTTCAATAGATGATATATGATTTGTGCTAGTCAAATTATTGAAGAGAAATTTTAATTTATATATATTTTGGACAATTTGAATAGTCTTTAAATGGTCAGAAAATACTCAGTGTTTGTTGCATATTGACATATATATATGCATATATATGTATTATATATATATATATATTAACTTGTGCACATATGTTTTACATATTCATGTGTTAACCTACTAATGGCATCTATGGATGAATCCAGTTAAGTTGAGGTCAGAATTCAGTATAATCTGATGGTTTGTTGACTGATAATGGATTTTTAACTCAGAAGCATCTATTAATAGGTAACATTAGAAGCTTTAACACTCAATAGTATCTGTCTATACTGATGTTGTCCCTCATCTTATGTGGGCCTGTGTGTGTCATTAGGCTGCCAGTGCACATCTCTGAAACTTTTCTCCCTATCAAGTGGACTAATGTGTTTTATGACCTAAAAGTTTTATCTGAGTCCATGATGGGGAAAATATAAAACATTAATAGTTCTATTACAGATAAATTACTCACATGATAGTTTTGTTTTGTGTTGCTTTTCTAGTCAATAAACACAAGCCGTGGATTGAGACATCGTATCATGGAGTCATTACTGAGAACAATGACACAGTCATCTTGGACCCTCCACTGGTAGCCCTGGATAAAGATGCCCCAGTGCCTTTTGCAGGTAAGATGACTGATATCTTAGTAAGCTTGGGCTGGATTCCTCTTAGTGGAGGCCTGATGTAAAACCTCCACTAAGCCCAGCTAGGACGTATAAGCTGTTGTCGCCACCATGTGTTCAGACACCCTGCGCTTTTCATGTTGTGTTCAGCTTCTCTTTGCTAGTATGGACTCTTTATCCCATTATGGTTATTTTCCTTCACATTGCTTCCTGTGGAAGACCCATGTTCCTTCTTTTGTGTTTGTTTTTGGTGGTTTTGATTTGTTTTGTTTTTGAGGCAGGGCCTCTCTATGTATCTGACTTTCTGGGAAATTGCTATGTAGACCAGGCTGGCCTTGAACTCACAGATATCGGCCTGCCTCTGTCTCTGCCTTCCAAATGCTAAGATTAAAGACATGTACCACATGTCCATTTTCCTTCTTCTAAGTGGTGATAAATTACTGAAGTGATCCCCAGAGTTGAAGAGATAGACTAGTGAAACTCCTTGGGGGAATTTTGCTCCTGGAGAGGTGGCCCACAGACATGATAAAATGTGGAACCACTGATATCTTGGTAGATTGGCAAGAAAAATGGAAATAAAAGGCTATCAAAAATTATTTGGTGAAGGTCAGATGAGAGTTTATCCTTGAGCTTCAACAAGATTGTAGCTTTTAGAGGAGGAATTTAAAGTCAAATGTCTTTGTGTCTTTTGGCTAGAAGTTTTCTCACTGTCTTCAAGGCCTCACCCTGACCTCCTAGAAAATGTGTGTGTAGGACACTACACTACCATTTGTTTCTCTGGATATGAGTAAAGACAAGGTAATAGGCAATGGCTTGGTTAGGAGGCCTTAGACAAAGGATGTCTGAGGGTATCTGAATCACGAGGAATATTGTTAGGATTTTATAACTGTCAAGAGAAAGACAGGAAATTTAATGAAGGTTTTCAAGACTTCTAGAAGATTGCTTTATGATCGATGGGTGCCAGGCAGGGGTTTGCACCATGATGAAGTCTATTTTTTCTGACAGTTTGTCTGCTGCATTTATGAGCTAGTTGGGCAGAAAAAAAAATGACTCTTTTGCACTTTTAAGAGAGATGCTCTGTGAAGGCCTTTTATTCATTATAGAAGATTATGATGACAGGAGTGATGGGCTGGGTTAAACTCAGTGTTATGTGAAGGTAAGTCCATAAGCATTCTGACAGAGGGAGGAAGACTCTTATACTCTTACAAGGCTTTGTCTTTATTTTATATAAAATGATAACTACCAAGGGCACCTCATTGTGATTTCTGTGATGTTTCAGGTTGGGGATTTCAAGTCTTAAAACATCTTCCAAATGTTCTCCAACCAAATGACACTTTGAAGTACAGCTCTCATACCATGACATGAGAGCTGTACTATCTTTCTTTCTTTCTTTCTTTCTTTCTTTCTTTCTTTCTTTCTTCCTTTCTTTCCTACAAAAGATGAGTTTCCATCCTTGCCCTTCTTTGGCAGCCTAGGAATAATCTAACTTACATTCTTCTGGACATAAGTAATGTGGAAGTGAGGTTAACAAACACCTTTAACAATGTTTAGAAATAAGACTTTTGAAGCAAATAAAAGAAAAATATATTTGGGTCATGAGAAAATCTTGGAATTCTTGGTTTGGCTTTAAACATATGATTTATGAAACCTGTAGATTTATCATGAAATATAATACTCTGATTAATCTCAATTAATGGGATCTCAGAGAGAGAGAGAGAGAGAGAGAGAGAGAGAGAGAGAGAGAGAGAGAGAGAGAGAGAGCTGTCACAATTTCCTTCCTCCTTCCTTCCCTACCTTTCTTGGTAGGAGGGTCTATTTGGGCTAGACTGAAATTCAGTATAGAGCCCAGGCTGTCCTCTAACCCATGGTCTCTAGCCATAGCCATCTGAGTGCTAGGATCACAAATCTGTATCATAACTCTAGGTTGACTGCTTCTTTCGTGCATGGATGAACCCCAGCTCCCCCCACCCCAGCCCTTTATCTCACAGTGTATGTACAGAGGCCTCCCCACTAGGTAGGACTTTGTCTTTCACCTCCCTACTACTGGTTGGCCTCTCTTTCAAGCACAACAGGGTGAACTGCTGGCCAATTCCAAGGAAATAACAGGGTTCCCTTCAGTCATCCCAGTTCCTGGAGACAGAGGAGTTCAAAGATGAGCAATGTGCTAACTACTTGCTACGACCACCTCTAATGGACACCTCTTTTCATCTGGTTGTAAGCAAAGAAGTGAAGTCTACAGCAAAGTGGCCCATTCTCAAACAGGGAGAACACAATAAATTGAAATTCAAGCAAGTCTGATACTTGAGAGTTTCTGTTCACAGCAGATTCCTTAGCTCCTTCAGTTATTAGGGCTTACAGACAATTAAAACATTTATCTGTCAATCCATCCGAGCATTCTACGTTGAAGCCTCTCCAAGTGCCTTAAACTTGAGTTTGTATTTTATCACATTTGCTCACAGTTGTTCTGGCATGTTTTGAAACTAAGATTTTCCTCTCAGCCAAGCCCTGAGTAGCTATTTCCATCCAGAGGCAATTTCTATACTCCACCTGTTATTTTTGCAGCTGCCTTAAAAAAAATCTAGCTTTAATGCATCAAAATATAATCTGCCAAGTTCTTAAGAGTAAAAAATAAAGGTGCTTTTTACTATGGCCAAAGCTATTTTTCTCAGTATTATTTATGGCCAGCTGTAAGACAGGACAGAGACACTAGCCATCCATCCAGCTACAGGCATTTATTTTAAAACATTTATCTTAAAAAGAAAATACTGAAGATTTATTTCAGATCCCTATCATTCTCATAAAATTGAAAAATTTATATCTGCTAGCTTCATCACCCTGCACGTCAACCGGAGCTTTTGGTCGCGCTTATCAAGCACTCCTGAATTAGGGGTCACTTTTCCCTGCCTTCTCTCTGCATATTTACTTCCTACTCTTCTCCTGTGTCTTTGCTTCCTGTCTAGTGGGTGAACTGAGCTATGCTCTATGAAAGACCATTCCCTTTAAGTCATTTCTTTCTACTTTATTTCTCTTAACTTCTCCTACCTTTTAGGGTTTTTTTTTTTTTTCTTCTAAAAAAAAGTTATTCCATAAAAATTTCATTTGAAAGTAATTTAGAATTATATGCTATTATAAACAATGATCATTTAAACAAAAAGATGAGCATTGGTTGTAGAAAGCATGGGAAGCCCTGTGAAGTGGACACACAAACCTATGGAGACTCTTAGCATTGCAATGTAATTCCTTTCAGTCATGTTTCCATTCCTTGTTAAAAATTACTGTCATGTCTGGCATCTAATATTAGAATTGAATGTTAGTGTTATCTTTTAAATAACATTAACACTATCAATATCCTAATGAGTGTTCTAGAGTTTCCTTTTTCCAATTATTGTATCTATTTTCATTTTTATTTTGTTATAACACATTTGCCTTCCTGTGTCTACTGGTAGATTTTTTTTTTATAGTACGATTTATTGGTCAAACATTTCCAAGCTCCTGAAACACATCAGATGGCTTTCCTGAAAGTAAATGTGTGACTCTGTATTCCTATTCACACCATCCTCCTCCCTTGGCTCTCATATTATCCCTCTAATGGTTATTTGGTGACAGTGTGGCAGAATAGCTGGTGGCATTATCTTTAATAACGTCATCTGTGAATGATGCAGGCTGTCCCAGATTTTTGTGTGGAAGAAATTTAAAGAATGTGTGTGTCACACATTCCAAATAAAATATGGTGGGTGTTGAATGAATTGAAGTTTTCATCTCCAGGCTTTTATACCTGCTCATGTCATAGAGGACCTGTCTGGTCGGCATTGAGGCAAAGCAACTTGCCCTGTATTCCAGGTGAACTTGAGGCAGGGGTAGGAGCCTGTCTCCTGCAGAACACTCTGATTTCCCTGTCCCTGTGATCTCATTTGAGCAACAACACCTCGATAAGACTTCAGCTAGTTCTATTAAACTTTCTTGGCTCACTTCTCAACTCAGAGTCTGAGCTCAGTAGACTTGACCTTCTTAAAGAAGCAGACACAGAAAACTCAGGTAATAATGAAAACCCTGTCCATTGCAAGACAAAAAAAAATGATAATGAAAGCAAGCTGGGTGCACTATGAACTTATTAATTTCTACATGGGCTCCACTGAGGCCTGTTTGGAAACTGTGAAGACTTTTACATTTGAGGGGAATTAGCTGGCCTTTCAAAGATAATAGAACTACTCTTCATTTGTCTCCATTGGGCTGGTCAGGACTTGTCTCTTGTAAGGGCAGAGCTGCAGAGGATGATCAGGTATAATTGGCCGGCTTTGTGGGCTGGGTGAGTCTCTGAAGGCTGCCCAGAAAATTGTCTGCAATATGATTTGACCTGGTTTGATTAGCTGGTTACAATGCTGACTATGGCAAGGACTGCTCTTTCTTTCATCCTTAACTCCATTTCCCTTCTTCAGTTCAGTGTCTGCCCATCACCTTCTTCCCTATCTGTGGGCCAGTCCTAGGTTCCTGCTCCCTCCTAGGGCTCAATAGGAGCCTATTAGACCGTCAAGGGTTCATTTGGCCATAATATCTCATAGTAAATACAGAAGGTAGAGATCATAGCATTAATTATTTTTATTATTTTTAGGTTGATGGACATCATTGTGTGCTTTAAAATATACAAAATATTATGTTTAAAATCATATCAGTATAATGGATAATATTTAAATCTAAGTAAGTGACAAATGTATTACCTCCCTTAGTGTGGTAGTTAGTGTTGTCAAATTGACCAAAGTGAGAATTACCAAATAGATGGTCCCCTTAGCATGCCTATGAGGTAACTGAGGCAGGAGGGTGAACTGAATTTAAAGCAGAGGGAGCTTACGAGCACATAGTGCACTGTTTGCTCTGTTTCCTGACTACAGATGCCATGTGGACAGCCAGCTGTCTCAAGCTCCTGCCACTGTGATCTCAGTGCAAGATGGACTGTTAGCCTGGAACTGTGGGTGAAAATAAGCTCTCTATCCTTTAAATTGCTTTTG